ATAGGAGCATTTAATGTTAGGACACTTTGCCAAATAGGACAACAAGCATCACTAGCTAAGACCCTGGCATCTCGAGCCATTGATGTATGTTGTGTTTCAGAAACACGCATACAAGACCCAAGTGTGGTTATTCACCTAACCCCACCTGGCCAACAGGATGAATCTTCAAAATTCACCTTGAGGGTGTCAGGAGATGCCACAGCTAGTTCACGAGGATTAGCTGGCGTAGGGATAGCTCTGAGTACTAGGGCAGAAAAGACATTGCTTGACTGGATCCCGGTAGATAGCCGAATGTGTGCTGTCCGTCTGAACGGATCAGTAAGAAGGAGAAAGGACTGCACTACTCGCCGATGCCTTTTCGTAATCTCCGCCTACGCCCCCACTGACTGCAGTTCGGATGAAACGAAGGATGAGTTCTACCAAAAGCTGTCTAGTTTGGTGAGAAAGGCTAAACGCTCAGATATAGTCGTTCTAGCTGGTGACTTTAACGCTCAAGTAGGGAAATTGTGTCAATCTGAGAAGGATGTCGGTGGCACCTATGGAGTTCCGTGCCAGCGAACCGACAACGGTGACCGTCTCCTACAGTTCTGTTCAGATAATCATTTGTTTCTTGTAAGCACTAACTTTAAACACAAGGAGAGACACTGTTTAACCTGGCGACCCCCATCATCAAACCAACGCTGGACACAAATAGACCACATAGCAATAAGCTATCGTTGGCGTGGGTCGGTAGGAGATTGTCGCTCCTTCTGGAACACGTGTGTAGATACCGATCACGCACTGGTCCGGGCTCGTGTGTGCTTACGACTGAACGGACGTAGGAAACAGCTGGCGGTAAAACCATCACGTCCCCAGCTCGATCAGGAAACTAAATCCCTATTTGAGGAAGAACTAGCTAAACGCATATCTGAATCGACAGCTGTGCTCACCCTGGAGAAGCCTGGAAGAATATTCAGTCAGCTATAGATACAGCTGTAAAAGCTGTGAATAAGGCAAATCCAAAGGTGAGTAAAAACCACTGGATTTCGACTGCCTCATCCGAACTGATAGATGCTAGAAGACTTATTCCGGCGAGCTCCGAATTCAATGAGGAGCGAAAGCTGCACAAAAGGAAACTTACTAAAAGTCTCCGCAAGGACCGTGAACAGTGGTGGGTGACAAAGGCGAAAGAGATGGAAAAAGCATTGGCGATAGGCAACACTAGGCAACTCTTTAGACTCATCACAGAATCGGGTGGGAGAAGGCAATTCATAAGTGAGACTATTTCTGAGAAAAATGGCTCCTTAATTAGCTCTCAGGATAGACGCCTTGAACGCTGGAAAGAACACTTTGAGGAACAATTTAACTTGCCTACAGCCACACTGAACCTCCCCGCCATCCACCACGTACCCGAATGGGATATAGACACTGGTCCGCCGTCTGTAGGTGAGGTTACAAAAGCTATCAGTAATTTGAAACGAGGCAAAGCGGCAGGACCCGACGGAATTATTCCGGAGGTGTTTAAATATGGGGGTGACATACTAGTTTGTAGATTAACTGAGGTACTAGGCAAAGTCTGGGAATCAGAGACAGTACCATCAGACTGGGGTAAGTCACTTATTATACCGATATTCAAGAAGGGAAACAAGTCCTCGTGTGATAATCATAGGGGGATCAGCCTAACGAACATAGTCTCTAAAATCCTAGGCTCAGTAATCATGCATAGACTAAGCAGAACTCGGGAGGAACAGACAAGGGAAAATCAAGCAGGCTTTAGACCAGGTAGAGGGTGCATAGATCATATCTTCACTCTTCGACAGATTCTAGAACATAGACACACTTTTCGGCGTCCAACAATTGTCATATTTCTTGACTTGAAGGCGGCCTTCGACTCCGTGGATCGAAAGGTACTATGGCAATGTCTGACTGTGAAGGGAGTGCCAAGAAAGTACATTGCACTAATCAAGGCACTCTATTCAAACTCACGTAGTCGTGTAAGGGCTTATGGGGAATTGTCATCTGAATTGGTAACAACCAGTGGTGTCCGACAGGGATGTCCACTTTCCCCATTTCTGTTTAACTTCATCATAGATATGCTAATGGAAGTATCCTTAACTGAACGTAGTGACTTAGGAATCGACTTGTTACCAGGGAATAATCTAATGGACTTAGAATATGCAGATGACATAGTCCTGTTAGGGGAGGATGCTGACAAAATGCAGAGTCTTCTGAACACCTTGAGCAGCAATCTTCGTATGTTTGGCATGCGATTCGCCCCTGCAAAATGTAAGATGCTGCTACAGGACTGGACCACGTCAACCCCTAACTTAGTGATAGGGAGTGAAGTGATAGAACATGTTGACCACTTCACCTACTTGGGAAGTTGTATTAGCACCAACGGACTGATTGGCGATGAAATCTCAGCACGGATCCGAAAAGCTCGAGCTGCTTTCGCTGACTTACACCATCTCTGGCGTAGGCGTGACATCCGGTTATCAACCAAGGGACGTGTGTACTGCTCATCAGTTCGCTCCGTCCTTCTCTATGGCTCTGAAACATGGCCAATACGCGTTGAAGACATGAAAAGGTTGACTGCTTTCGATCATAGATGTCTGCGATCTCTGTCTCACGTTAGGTGGTTTCACAAGATAAGTAATGTTGACGTTAGGCGTAGAGTGTTGGGCAAAGAGGGAAAATCAATCGACGAGGCTATAAAGTTACATAGACTAAGATGGCTAGGTCACGTGCTGCGCATGCCTAACCACCGCCTCCCCCGACGGGCATTGCTAGCTGATATAGGTTCAGGTTGGAAAAGAGCCAGTGGTGGCCAAACAAAAACATGGCATCAATCCATGAAATCCTTGACAGTTAAACTGAGTCAGGTAGGGAGATGCAGACTCCCGGGTTGGGGCCCTCGGGACTCTAGGAATCAATGGCTGGAGACAATAGGTGACATGGCTCAAAATCGTTGTCAATGGCGCAGATGTATTCAGTCTCTGTAATCTTTCATATTCCTTTCTACCATTACCCATTCTGTTTCACTCTTATATTTGTCAAACTCTATTGATTCTCTTCACTCATCTTCTTGTCTACCTCTGTGTGCTATTTGGAACGTGGCAACTCGAACTGCTGCACTTCGGTGCCAAGTTCTATGTTGAATCCAGACAGACAGACAGACAGACAGTCCCTTTGATAAATTCGAATAAGGTATTTAGAAGACAAATTTCGCGAGATAATGATATCACTTCGTAGTTTCTTTACAATCACCTTACAACTAACACGGTTCACAATAATAATAATAATAATAATAATAAGATAGAATGCATGACAATTACTCAGTTATAGATAAAACAAAAGTACAAACTATTAAATAGGTCAAGTAGTCCATGGTAGGCGAAGGTTGAAGTACACTGCTGTTTTTTTGTACACATAGTTCAGGATGTATGTGATTAATCAATCCAAAGTGCTTCCATCACCTTTAATAACCAACTTTGAATTAAAGTTATGTGATGAAATAATTGTGAAACAGTCATTTATATTGATTTTGTGACTTGAGATTAATAAGTGCTTTGCAATGGATGACGGTGGCTCTCTATTCAGATTAATTGCATTGAAATTTTCTATGTGTTTTAATAACAATTTTGGAACATGTTCTTTTCGACAACATTGGAACATTCGATTGGCTCCACCTATATAAGAGTGCCTTCCGAATTCGAATCGGATAAAAAAACTCGGTTTCTTGGATATTTCAATGACCAGAAGAGACGATAGAACGGTTAAGAGATTCTTATTTCGTAAGCAGACATGGAGTGGACAATATCTTCATTTCACCATTTTTGTTCCTATCCAATGTAAGCTTTCCCTAGTGAAATATTTGTTTTCAAGAGACCGCAAAATATGCTCAAGCGACATGTTGATGGATGAGCTTCATCACATTCATTCAGTTTTCTTGACTAATGGTTATCCAGAAAACTTTATCAATTGTTATAGTAATGATAGACCACAGCTAAAAAAGACAGCTTATTTACAAAAGAAAGCTATCTTTATTGACCTGTCAATCAAGTGTGACCAAACTAATACAGTTGACAGCTCAAAGACTTCGGTGAGCCATCAGACGAGCATTCTACGCCGCATCTCTTTTCTCACATGCCGAACATTTTCGATCCCTGCACCTACGATTAGAGGACGAAATTCTGTGGATTTTACTCCAGACTGTATCTACGAATTCACCTGCAGTTGTGACGCTTACATAGGTGGAGCCAATCGAATGTTCCAATGTTGTCGAAAAGAACATGTTCCAAAATTGTTATTAAAACACATAGAAAATTCCAATGCAATTAATCTGAATAGAGAGCCACCGTCATCCATTGCAAAGCACTTATTAATCTCAAGTCACAAAATCAATATAAATGACTGTTTCACAATTATTTCATCACATAACTTTAATTCAAAGTTGGTTATTAAAGGTGATGGAAGCACTTTGGATTGATTAATCACATACATCCTGAACTATGTGTACAAAAAAACAGCAGTGTACTTCAACCTTCGCCTACCATGGACTACTTGACCTATTTAATAGTTTGTACTTTTGTTTTATCTATAACTGAGTAATTGTCATGCATTCTATCTTATTATTATTATTATTATTATTGTGAACCGTGTTAGTTGTAAGGTGATTGTAAAGAAACTACGAAGTGATATCATTATCTCGCGAAATTTGTCTTCTAAATACCTTATTCGAATTTATCAAAGGGACTAACTATTTCAATTTCCTTGAACAATAAATATCAGTACAAAAAGACTAGAGATTGTGAAGATAGACAAGAGCATCCAACCGCGTTCAGGGTCACCAAGAGAGATGACTAAACAATTGGTGGAGAAATTTAAAAGCCCACTTCAAATTGAAGTATGGACTGAAGATGTTTCCTATTAAGTACGGCACTGAAAGCTTCGCAGATAAACATCCAGCTCAGAGAACACAACCACATCAAAATAAATATATAGGCGAAAAATATATTTACCTGGTCAAAGTCAGCACTGCAAACTTGAGTCACTACCACTGAAGGACTAGAAGTTACTTTTGAATCGATATTGTCTTGAAAGTCATTTTCGAGTGGAATCTCAGGAGCCAATTTCTAAATTACAAAAGAAGTAAACTACTATTTAGGTTTATTCTATGTGTCATGATTATTTATTTGCAAAATTACAAAATACGGTCTGTCTGTTTTCGACATAGAACTTTGCACATACGTGCAGCAGTTCAAGTCGCCACACTCCCTCCTTGTAGCACACAAAGCAAGAGAAGAAAGTACAAGAAAAACATAATAGAGACAGTAAGCAGAGACCCTATATCAGCTAACATTGCCCGTCGAGGAAGGCGATGACTAGGCATACGTAACACATGTCCTAACCATCTCAGTCTTTGTAACGGACGATAATTCGGTGTCGTTTCCAACTGATGGTTTTTCGCTCGAATAATGAATATTAGGCGCTGATGATCATTTAACTTCAGTAACAAGCTTTGATTTCACCAGGTACATAGAAAGTGCATAGAGCTGCACAAAATTATTCAATAACACACATATATGATCCTTAATTTATTATGCATCAGTAATGCGCACATACGGATTTTACAGTGCATAGTTAAACTGCGACTTTTACTAATAGAAAGTCAGGTTAAATCAAAACGCTGAAATATAACTGAAAAAATGAATAAATAAAATCGAACACAATTATTGCAAGTTGTGTAAAGAGCAACAAATCTTCTAATGGGGGACACAGAAATCAATGACATAACAAGGGACAACAAAACCGATATGTCATTAACGAACCATACAGTAACTTTCCCTCCGTGTCACTTCGTAAAATCGATTACCCTCTTATGCTTTTTTCCTTTAAGAATTCCAAAGGTTCACTATTCCATTAAATCTCTCCTGACTGTCCTGTTTAACATTACACCTCCTGGAGTTTAAACCCTACTTTAACGCCGCAATACTCAGAGCACAGATTGACACTTAGGTGATACGTCATATCTTCCACTTGACTCGTGAGACAGGTTTTTAAGATTCTGCTGTGGCAGAATAACTGATTGGAAAGTCTCTCTATAGCAATCCACCTACAATTATTTAGATATGCTTAACTTAGTGTGTGATTAATACCCTTTTTTCCTTGACCTGGTGTGTCACATCTTCCTTTGACCTAATCCTGATTATTGGTCGTTATACTTGATTCCTTAACGTTTCACTTTACTATTAGGTGATGGTGAACTGTTGAGGATAAATGTGTTGTTTTACGATCGATATTTTGTTTGAATGAATTCAAGGGTGTGCAACGGGGACAATTTGACTATGGCCTATCAACAGGAGACGTGTTTGGTGTATTTGATTCTTATCGAGAGAGTTTAGATACCACCTTGTTGAGAATATTCTACCTGATCCTCAGGCATTTATCATGTCTTTGTTTTTCGGTCAGATAAGTTTGTTGTACAGTAATTACTTTGTACCTAAGAAACTTTTGAACTGTATAGTTGCCTAACGGCAATGTTGAGGTAACTTTGAGTTCTTGATATATTATTAGCGTTTAGCAATACCACAGATTTTACCACACATGTCTTTTTGTTACCACTAGGACTAGCTGTCTTTGATCATAGATGTCTATGTTCTATCTCCCACGTGAAGTGGTACAATACGGTGAGGCATAATTGAGGTGAGTCACCGGTCAAATCATAGGTAAGGAGAGGAAACCAATAGACAAGGCTGTGAAGTTACATCGGTTGAGATGGTTAGGACATATGTTATGCATGTATGTCTAGCCATTGCCTTTCTCGACGGGCGATGTTAGCTGATTAGTGGTGGTCAAACCAAAACATGGCTTCATCAGTCAATGAAATCCACAACAGTTAGTTTAAGCCACGTAAGGAGGTGTAAACTTCCTGGTTGGGGTCCTCGGGATAGTGAAAAACCAATGGCTGGAGACAAATGGTGATGTGGTTCGAAATTGTTCTCAGTGGTTTGAGCAGATGCATCCACTCTCTAAGATTTATAATATCCAATAAAACTATATTGTCCTTGCATATTACTATTCTTTTTGCCCTATGTTTCTGTTTATTATCTTTCTTTTGAATCTCTCTTTACTCACTTCTCTTGCTTTTTGTGTTAAGTGAAGTGTGGCACCTCCAACCGCTGCAAATCGGTGCAGAGTTCTACGTTGAAACCAGTCAGCCAGGAAGGTGTAGACTTCCAGGCTGGGGTCCTCGGGACGGTAAAAATCTATGGTTGGAAACAATTGGTGACATGGCTCAAAATCGTTCTCAGTGGCGCAGATGCATCCACTCCCTGTGACTTATGATCTCCAATGAAACTGTTTTGTTTTTCTTTACTACTCCTTTGTCTCGCACATCTGCTCACTGTTTCTATTATGCTTTTCTTGTACTTTCTTCTCTTGCTTCGCGTGCTACACGGAGTGTGGCGACTTGAACTTCCGCACATTTGTGTAAAGTTCTATGTCGAAAACAGACAGAGACAGTCAGTCAGTACCGTTGGGACATTTTGGGGACTAGGAGTCACTCGCAGAAATCTGGTCAGCTATTGACTCCCTATGTTCAGATCGAAATACTTGGGTTTTGGTACCTACATCTATGTTATTTCAATCAGTCACTTAGCAATATGCATAAAATATAACCATGTACAAACTATAAACTGCCATCTTTGAAAAAAAGAATAACACGACACAAAAATAATAAAAACATGCCACAAATACTGATTTTTCTTTCAGACTAGAACTAGCAGTCATTCAAATAAAATTTGTTTATAATCTTAAGCTTAACTCACTAGAAATTGAAAATACTACAAACAGTGGAAGTTAGTTCATATTAGCAGTTCCCGCCTATAAATTTTATGTTTCACACATCTGATAATCACCACTACAGATATCCGCAAGCATTTCACACCTTAAATAACATTATGAGAAATATTTCGTCAAACTTACGGAAACTTTACTCTAATTATCAACTTAGTCATTATCTTTTAAACGTAGAGCCCAAATACATATGTCGTCATAATCTACTTTGTAGAGCAATAATCTTCGGAATATAATGTTCACATTGTTTAGAATATACCGTTAGTGAACTTGGCTCTAAATGTAGACTATGGTTATTAAGGAACAGAATACTAATACATATAGTGGAGATTTTACTGCTCGTACTTACGCGTCTTTGCGTTCGCCTATTTGACAGTAGGGATTTACATTTCGATGACAAACTTTTCTTTAAGACACCAGACGACTTCTTTTTCCCACCTTTGCTAACTGGACTGGCTAAACTGGATTTTGCACCCACAGATGAGAGGCTTTTCTCATGTCGTGAAGCAGCAGATCTAATGGTGACGCGAGGAGACTTATTCTCAGCGGAAATTGTGGGGTTACTTACAGGCATTTGAAGATTCGGATCTACTTCTGGTTTGCAGATCGATGAGTCCTTTGGAATAGATACCTTCTTATCTTCCAGTTTTACGCAAGTTGTTTTGCTAGATGGTATCCCACCAGAACGACGAAGCTGACGAGGAGCGTTTACATCGATTGTATCACTCCCCGGGATCATAGATACTTCTTTAGTGCAAAACGAGCACTGCCTGAAAAGGGAATATTTAGATAGAAAAAACATTCAACAAAACACATTTGTGGATGTATATACGTATGTTGAAACAGTAAGAGACTCAGCTAAACATGAATGATAAAAAGTGTTTCCATTAATTTTGTACACTGATAATAGGAATGAAACAGAATGAACACAATTCACTTACCAACTATAAATTTTACTGCGTTTCGGCATACGTAATAATGGAGGATCAAGACAAGCCAAATGAAATGCTTTTCCACAAGCATCGCAACTTGTTATCAAGTGTTGATCTTGAAGTCCATGGCATACCGTACACCTATAAAAGTTACAAGGAGAAAGGAGTAAGATACGAGTGTGTTCATTAGCTTGTTTTGTGTTTAAAAAAGGAGTAGAGACGTTAGGCGTCAGTGGCACAGCGGCAGAATGTTCACTAACCATGCATGAATACTGATGTTTCCACTGGGGCCCAAACTCTGTAACCATCGTTTCGAAACTGTGGAACCTTTTTCACTAGGCTGATGGGTCATAACAGCTACCTCATGCTTGACAAATATTAGTTTGCTAGGTATTTTTATCTATACATTGTTGATACACAGAAGCGAATAGGCATACGGACTCCTCCGTATTATTTATAATAACGAAGAAAGTACACCCAAGATTTCATCAACTAATATACAAATAACTAAGATCTCATTATAGGCGTAATTCATTCATTCCTATATATATTAACAATGAGGATAATCAAAATATTCCACTAACAACTGTAATTATGGGGCTTCTTTTTTCATGCTTTAAAGAGAACTTGGACATAGAAAGTAGGTGAATAATAAAGAAATGTAACTTGTGAACTTACTCTAATATTACACTTTCTGGTTCAAATTTAACCCCTGAACAGCTGTCGACATGTGAAGCAACAGCATTCTTTGATGCAGCAGTATTTTGATCACTTGTTTCAGATTTTGAAACTTTGCGCACCTTAGACGATGGGGAAAAGGGACGTTTACGCTTGGAAGCAGCAATAACTGCTGAAGAACCAAACTTGATACTTCTGTTGGAATCCACAGGGTCAGAAGAACTAACATCTAAGGTAGATGTTTCTACTGGACGTGAATGCTCCGACAACACGTTTTCTAGTTCACATGATAACTTCAGACCCTGTTTGAGTGAGATAAACAGCAAATATGAATTAAATATGCAATTAAACACAGAAAGATGTTTACTTGTCAGTTGTTACACCTTGAAAAACCTGATGGATCCAATATCTACAGCTGATTAAGGGTGTTGAGAAAGATCTTGTGAGTATTTGATTTACTACAATCGAATATGTAGTGTTTTCGACAGTTTATTAAAAAATCCAAATGGTAAAACTGATGAGTGAGTAGGTCACGGGTTCGAGTTCTATTCAACCTATCTCGGACTCGGCAAACGAGTAGTATCATCAGTCCTCAAACGACAAATGTAGCTCTCAGCCTGGCACAGGAAAGGACTTCCAGTCAGGAAAGTCCAAACAAGACCAACAATATCTTCAAGCTTGTATGGCAAAGTAAGTCTGATTACTTTATCTGAATTTAAAACAATTTGCTTTCATAACGTCAGGAAAATCGTTAACACGTCTACCTTAACTTTATTCAATGCAGACGATGAGAAAACAGTGATATAAAACATCCCATCGTTCTATAAGTTTTTTGTGGACTGTCTTGATCAACCCTTACAGCTTTTAGCAATAAAAATTAACCCAATGATTAGTTGTTTTCATATTACAAACAAGAGAGATAATTAACCCTAATGTGTACAAATAAACAAACATGTTTGCATCGGGAGATGATGATTCCTCTTCATCTGGGATTCCTTATTATTTACTACACAAAAACTATAAAGGGACCTGACTAAAACCATGTCATTTGTTTCTTGCTGATCTTACTTTGTTTAGCGATGCCTACTTGTCAGAATAATCTTAAATTAATAAAACTTTCAATACAAAGTTAAATACCTTGACCCACATAAAAACCCATAGACAAAGACTATATTTTATGTGAAAAAGTCAACAATATAAACTAACCGGAATTAAATTACGCAGAGTACTGACGATATGAGAGAACTTTACAAATAGGCCTCCACGTTGAGTGACTAGTTTCTCTAGCTCCGCTGTAATCTTAAATATAAAATGGAATGAATAAATGTCCCGAGGTTATAATACGAAATAACATTAGACATATGTATGTAATATATAATCGCTAGCTTACCGAATTGTAACTATGTGACGCGCTAGCATCTGCTATTTGCAGTTCTCGTTGAGTATTTTGTAAAGTCGAAATGTGTTTTGAGATTTCCATAATTTTCCTTTCACGTTCTAAACAAATAAATAAATAAATGCAAGAGATAAACACTTCTGCGAATACGAAAGATAAAGCATAAATGTGCATGTAGAAAGCTAGTTAAGTACAAATAAGAACAGAAATCTCACCTAGGAAATAGGATACAAAGTCCGGGGTGAATACTGGATAACTGGGGGTAGGACCTTTTGATGAGTCCACGTTAGATGCATGATTTGAAAATTCGATGGGCAAGCTGAGAGCCTTTGCCTTGGAGACAAACAATCTCATGGCGACAGGAGAAGTTTCCAAAAACAAAGGTGTTTTTACAAGTGGTACTAAAAATAAAGCGATAAAATTATCAGGATAATGTATAGAAGGAAGGTATATTAACAAGCGTTAAAGATAACTAGAACTAACAGCAGCAAAATGAAAAATAAATATGAAATAGTACGCTCAAACTTGGTTTGCGCTGACGGATAACAGTGAAGACTTGCTTAAAAGCGTCTGTAATACGACGTAAGTAAACTTGCTAGTGAAAATTAGTTGTCATGAATTCAACCTGTCTACTTTGTTTCTTCTCAGCTGCAGACCACAGTGTAAAATCCGATTGAATAAAATTGATATTTTAAGTTTTCATACGATCTCAGCAAACATTTAAGATATGCCAACATCTCGAAATATTCAGTTAACCGACGTCAAGCATACGTCAGTACTAAACATGTTTAGTGAATGGTAAGCTTGGGCTACAATTATTTGTTGTTGTGTACACCCAATAACGGAAAACGTTAACACTGAGGCTACTTTGAATTATTAATTTTTGACAAAAGCAGAAGGCTAAAAGGTATTCAATTCGTAAAGGATAGTTTCGTCATAATCACGATGTCACAATTCTTATTTATCATTAATAATCGGAGTAGTAGTAGTAGTAATAATAATAAGGCTCAAACTTTACGCGTGAACTCTGTGTAGACAGTAAACACATTTCTGAAGAAAATGACAGATGATAAACTCGAAAATAGTATGCACAAGACTAGAAGTTAGGTTATCAAAAGTCATTTCCTACAGAATTTAATACAACTTTTGAATTGTATTTACAATTCATAGAAGGATAATTCAACCAGGAACTTACGTCTCTACATACGGTATTTAATTTGTTAAGATAGTTAGCCACGTCAAAAAGTAATAAAATACAAACTATCACGATAATTCTTTATTAAAATTAGACTGTAAGGTGACAGAGGTGGTGGAAAATCTGTACAGTTCTACGAATATCTTTAGACTATTCAGCAGAAGAAGAATAATAAGACAAGATTTCCGACTTATACCTCATTGCATCAATAGTCTGCCGAACCAAAACTAAGATCTATGTCAGCATTTCAGTCGCCAAAGCTGTCTTGTTAGCCTGATCATAACCTAACATAAATGACGAAATACACCTATTAATTCATAAGGAAAAACAGCTTTTGTTTAGCGAAGAAACATTTCTTTTCAACTTCATTTTCAAGCCGTACATTCGTATTCGTATTAAGGAAAAAGGCAATCAAAATTGCTTAGTCAATACGCATGTGATGAGAATAAAGATAATTAAAATGATTTACTATGGGAGTTGAATTGAAGTGGATGAATTACAAAAATTTCAGAGATTATTAAGAATTAAGAGTAGGATGATGATAACAGTAAAGACGGCGAAGATGAAGTGAAGTGGAATGAATTCAAGTTTTAAAACAGAATAAAATAAAAGAATATTACTATGACAAAGGTAAAGAGAGGAGTTTAACAAAATGTTTCTGAACACATAATTTTGGTTTCTCTCCGCGTATAGCTACAGATTTCGCTATGCATAAGTGGAAGAAACGTAAGCTTTTGTAAAGCTTGAATTTGGTCCTGTAAGTAACTTTTTCGCTGAACAAAAACTGTTTTTCCTTAATATAAATGACTTAAAACAATACGGTGAACCCTGTGTTATCGAAATCTAGTAACTGCAGGAGTGATGTCTGTCTGTCTGTTTTCGACATAGAACTTTGCACAAATGTGCGGAAGTTCAAGTCGCCACATTCCGTGTAGCACGCGAAGCAAGAGAAGAAAGTACAAGAAAAGCATAATAGAAACAGTGAGCAGAGGTGTGAGACAAAGGAGTAATCAGGAATACAGGAGTGATGAGACGATGATAAACGTATTTCCAAGCAGGAAAATGGAACACATACTATTTGTCAGTTCAAAGATCAGGATTACATTACGAAGCTTTCCTCGGGAAAAACTAATGTTTTAAAGTGCTATATAAATTCAATTCCATTAAATGGTCTGCAGCAAAGAAAAATACATACCATAGGGTTTGTCACGATGCTTTATGAGATCTGCATACAAATCACGATAGTGCTCGAATTTACGCTGAATACGCATGTCCGTTGTAAACACCTCTCCAACACCAGAGTAACATGGTAGTTTTTTTTCTTCAGAATTATTAACAGGGACCTGTTTGTTTGACCTCCACTTCCTCAGCCTAAGCATAGCAGTTAAGAAATTACGTCGACGATGTCGAGCGACTGTTTTATCAGTGTGCTGACGACAGTGTGCAAAAAAGGGATCAGCAGAAGTCTAGAAAAATAATAAAGTTACGTGATGTTTAGCAATCAGCAGAATCACATCCTACGAAGAACATAAACAAATAAACAGGCAACTGTCAATGATACAATAGTAATTTGAATTCTGACTATCCTAAAACGACGCAAACATACAGGCCTGGTAAGGGGATCTCAAATAAAACAACAAATCAATAACACTTCAAGAAGTGGTATAAAAGAATCTATAGCTGAACTACTTGTGTTTGGAAAATGACAAAAAGTCGAAATTAAAAACGGAATTCAAGACCATTCGTATAGGTAGAGCTACAAGCTTTACGAAATATATTTATTACTCACCTCTTCCACGGTAGGTTCTGACAACAGTCCATGCTTCTGAGCACTGCAAGACAAGTGAGTATAAATTTACCAACCCACCAGGTCACATGGAAAAAAGTACGGCATAAACCAGCATCGCAAGATATACAGACACCAGTCCAGGCAAAGAAACGGTCTTCACAGAGAGAACACTCATGCAAAGACCACTGTCTCTGAGGCAATTCTGTGAGTGTCACCTGGAAAATGATTAATTAATTAATTAAACGCACCTCCATTAAATTATCAGGATCGTTGAAAGCAACACCAGGTGTGTATAATGCGCACAACAAATGCACCCAACGATTATTATCTGTCCGTTTGAATACACCATCCAGTACAGGACATAATTCACAGATCTTCAGGCAAAAATCAGCTTAAAACAAAAACTAACTGGTGATGTCACACCCGCAAGACATGGTTCACAGAACCAAGCGTCTGTACTAGAAGAACTTGCACCGCTTGATAAAAATATTGAATCTACCACTTTATAGCAATCTAATACGTAAATCACAATGGAATTATTCTCACCCTCATGAACAACAATACCACATCCATCACATTCAATTAACTCATCGTTGAGATCTACACTATCGCCCAAACACAGCATACATATCATTATGTCAACGTCTTTCGTCTTCACACCAGAGCTATTTGCGAAAACATGTCCAGTAGCTGGTTCTAAGTGAACGGTTATCAAAATAAGATCAAATGCAGTATGAGAGTTTACCGGTGGACATAGATTCTGGTGGGCATTTGATCTCCCCATTTTTTGTGGCATTAGGCGAGTCGCTTTTAGATTTTAAATTCAAGCTCTGGTTAGTAATCTGAACTTCAGAATCTTCGGTTGATGATGAATGGACTGAAGATTCTTCAGAATTCGAAGCCTCGTCATCACTACAAGCTGAATCACTCTCTTCTAGGAAAATTTACTTTCCAAAATAAGCATTGACTAACCATCATCATCACCATCCCCATCATCATCTTCTACCTCTTCGCAAATGTATTCACTGTCACTGTCATCATCTATATCGTCTAACAGAGCTAAATGGTCTGTATTCACTGGCTTTATTTGACGCTTGGAAGGGTCGCGACGAGCTTTAAGTTACAAAGTTAATTCAATATATGACAAACTACCAATTGCTTTGAATAAAGTATCGGACGACATTTTAATTATCAAGTAACAGGACCACTTTACAATAACACAACAACAAAAAAATCAATCCAAATCTAGTAGGGTGTCCTCAAGGTTATTGCGATCTCATCTTCACATGATCAATTAGAATTGGACTTTCATGAAATGGGAATTCTCATCAACCCAGATAACATATGAAACAGTTTTATTAAAAATTATCGACAAAAACAATTTCCAAGCTAAATTTTAACAGAACGTGATAAATAAATCCAGCCCAAAAAAAATGGTTCTTGACACATGATAATCCTCTCCTGATTTAAATGGGTCAACGGAATGTTCTGAAATTACTTACCTCAGTAGGGAATTTCACTAAAGTAAAATCGTGGATTATACGAGCCATTTTGGATAGCAGTATGTTACTCATATAAATGAAATGACTAAATTATGCTTCATCGGCCTTCGCAGAAATATGGTCACTGTTATAAGGGTGATTAGATGGTCTTGTGAATTAAAACATTTATTTCCCTAACTTCGAATCTGTAGTACATTACAGCACCATATGCAGAATAGTCACTTCTGACGTCCCTACTAACGGCTATGTGCTCCTCACTAGAGTGGCATATCGAAGCCTGGATTTTCAGTGTGGTTGTCTAATATTATAACATCTGAACTAATAAGACAGACCTAAATGTTGTCTCATTTCAAGTAACTTCACTGTACTCCATGCAGACTGGGAATCACTTTCGTCACCAGGATACATTAATAAATTTAACTGCAGATCACTCCTGATCATTAAGCTGATACAGCATAACTCAGATAATATTCGCTTTAGATAGAACCAACGCATATGGAAAATATATACAATTAACTTACCCGTTCTTCTGAAGTTCATATTCACCATGTGTCATCATAGTAGTGATCTAGTCCAGCATCAATCTCAGTTTCGTGCTGATGTTTTAGGAAATTGATGATGCGGCGGCCTGCTTGAACCTTGAGCTACCAAAATTTTCCGTCACTTATACTGCATCTGATTATTTGGATTTATTTTGTTTTAATTATTCAATTATGTGTCCAAATTGTATTACTTACTCTCGCGATTATTTAAAATGTTTTCAACCTGATGATTTACGAATATATAATAACCTTAAGAAAAAGCATCATTATGGGTGGCAAAGATCCTTAAAATGTCCCTCAGTGCATCAGATGACTGTTCCTGTGATTATGAGCACAAATTACAGGTCATTATCGAACAAGATTAATTACTTAGATGCTCTATTATGTTCAAATATTTATCGTAATACAAGTGTAATAACGCTTCAAGAAACTCGGCTCCACGATTCATATGACGACAATTTAATCTTAATGGTTTCAATATGTACAGACAAGACCGAAGTAGTTCAAGGAAGAAGCGAGGTGGTGGTGTTGCTACTTTTATCAATTCTCAGTGGTTTATTGCCAACAACGTCTGTTTTATATTGATTATATTGACTGTATAACTGTCAAATGTCGACCTAAACACCTATCTTAATACAAACTCATTTATATCACAAATATTTATGTCACACCTTGCTGTAGCACTTCAGAACTGTCTATGTTCGCTGATAAATTCACTATTTTCGCTGCCTCCTCTTTTGGAAACTCATTGTCCATAGTCACAGGTGATTTTAATTCATATGACTACAGCTTTCTCACAGTGCTAGATCATAAAAATGTCGCCAACTTTCCCACCAGACTGGATAATTCCCTTGATCTTGTATTTATAAATGACCGTGGAATATACGAAGCTCGTAAAACAGCCCCACTCTTTAACTCATATCATTGTATTGTACGGGTTTTACCCTAAATTCATGGAAGGTTACACAAGAGAACTTTTTCACACCTTTCCAAGAAGACTGTATATGGATGTTACTCTTTGGATAATGTTCAAAATCTTAGGGGCATGCTCAAACACACAAGGTGGGACCTGTTTAGTGAAGATTCTCCTGATGACACAATCTCTAATATTACAATTTATCTCAAAGTTTGTCTTGACACCTGTTGTCCCAGAGAAACGCTCTTCATCAGATTTGACCGTTTCTCCTCCCCTCAACTTAAAAAGCTTTGCAGCTAAAAGAAAGCTATATAAAATGAAGGAAATACTGGTTTGAAGAGAATTAACATCCTAATAGAATCTGGAATGGATAGGCTGAATTCAGTTTACAACCAGAAGTTTATATCTTGTAAAAATGCGTCTAATATATGGAAACTTTTCCAAGAAATCACTGGTGGTAAGCAGATGAATAGTATTCCTTATTCCTTTGATATTTGCACACTAAACAAGTCTCTCATATATTCTCACACAAATGCCAAACTTTCTAGTGTTACAAGTGTTAATGAAACCTGCTTCCCTGGTTTCAATATAAATGATGTTCAAAAATGTCTCCAGTCTCTGAACATTTCTTGTAACACGGGCCCAGACGGGTCGCCTAGTATTATTCTTAAAAAATGTGCAGGCATCCTGCGTTATCCTCTTATGGACATATTTAACGAATTTTTCCCCAGAAATGTCGTGCCAGCCGTTTGGAAGGACATCAAAATCGTACCTATCCCTAAGTCTTCCACTGGGACATGTTTTAATTTTGGACCTATTGCTATTACGTCTCCTTTTCTAAAGGGTATGGAAAAGTTACACCTACTTAATCTTCAACCTGCACTTAAAGCCTCTAACGATCCTGAACAATTCGCTTATAAACACAGCAGAAGTACTTTAAATGCAGTTGCAGTCTTGTACGATAACATTGTCTCCAGCTTAGACAAGGGGGCTAAATTTGTTCGCTGCACCTTCCTAGATTACACATCTGCTTTCTACTCAGTACCTAGGGACGTTTTGTTAAACAAGCTGACCGAAACTCAAACTGACTGTTGGGTTTTCAAATAGCTGCATTCTTATTTCTCAGGAAGAAAGCAGTACACTGTATGTCAGGGAAAGTCGTCCACTTCATTGCTTACTGAGTCTTATGTCCCTCAAGGTGTGGTCCTTTCTCCTTTTCTGTTTTCTTTCTTCTCGCATGATTTGCCTCACTCTGATGAAATGAGCTTTGTCAGGTATGCCAATGATACAACTATTTCAACGCCTGTTAACTCCCAGCTTGACTGTGCTAAGATGAACAGCCTTCTATCAGGAATTAGCAAATGGTCTTCGTGTAACGGCCTTAAACTAAATCCTCCCAAATGTCAGACTGTTAATTTCAGTTTCCGATGTAAATGAAAGTTAAATGAAGCTTTTGGTTCCTATGACCCTTGCAAAATTCATGATGCTGATATAGAAATCAAGTCTGAAGTTAAGTATCTTGGATTAATTCTTTCTTCTGACCTGTCTTGGTCTTCCCATGTCTTAGCGATTTCTAAAATAATATTTCGTCTGACATTTTACATTAGGAAGTTAAGGCACTCAGGCATATCCCAAACACTCCTCTTGCAGTTTGTCAACTCGTGTATTTTACCTATTCTTCTTTACTGTTCACCCTTATTCTTTCCTGGATTGCTTGAAAAAGACTGTGTCATACTTCGTAGAACTCTGAAGACTGTCAGTAGAACGAGTGGTATCCCATTGGGCCATATCGATCGTTGACATTGTCATTGATAGGCACTTGATGTCATGCAACAAATTTGCTAAAGGAATTTCGTCAGAATCTGAGCACCCACTCTACACACAGCTCCAACCTTGTGTCTCCTCAGGCAAAACTAGGAGTCATTTTAGAAGAATTTACGCACGTACGTTTAAGTATGAAAATTTCACTATACCATATTCACTACGTACTTTATGTGATGAAAATAATGTCAGGCATGAACTAACATGAAATAAAGACAACTGGCTCGAAAATAATTGTATTAAAGCCAAAAGTGAACGCATGATAGTATAAAATATATTGGTTTCATTATACATTGCAAATGAACGTTGTCGGCCTAAGGATTAATTACTTCCCCATTCTGTTTTCTATATAAATGTGTTTATTAATGATATATTTCACTCACTTAATCTATTACACTTTAATGTTACACCACAGCACTTTAATTTTTCTAAAAAAGCTTCCAATTCCTTGTAAACGTTGTACTTACCTCAATATTGGTTGATTATCGTATGCCTACAACCACGGGATGAAAACGAAACGAAGTCGATTTTCCCGCTCAACCTGGAGGACAATTGTACAATTCAATAACTATACAGCCTAGTTCAGACAATGTGTATTTATATATATATCAAATATTTAACTGTTGAGACATTATTAACTTGTAGACAATTTAAGATTTGACATTATATCATCCTTGATCGTGCCTGTAAAAATGGCATGCATTTTCATGTAAATTTATGTTTATATGAAAATAAATTATTATTATTATTATTAACTAACCATCTTTGCACTACAAAATAAACCATTTCTTCCACCCTTACAGTACCAAAATTCATTGCTATTGTGTTTCTTATATTTATAATCCTATCAATATTTTGTTTTTATTTATTTATTTTTCACAATTGTGAACATAGTTTAAGCTGTGTTATTACTGTTAATCTTGTACTTCCCCTCACTATACTACATCAAAAGAACATTAGATTCAATACTCTATAGTAACATGCTAAAATTCTCTAACCGATTCGACAATACTGTTTGAAACAAACTCAATGTTATTATTATCATCACTCCTATTATTATTATTATTAATATATAATTATCTCAATTCGTGTTTAGAATAGTTTGACTTTATATCGTAAGCGTGGACAAATTACTCTGCTTGAACTTGTTTTAATTTAATTTATATTTTCAATCACGTCTCATGAACCGTTAATGCCCGCCCCTTGCTAGGCTGGGCCTCACGCTGTCCCTCGAAGATTTTAAGAAACGCTTAGTATTAGCGGACGCAAAAACCAGCACACAGATGGGTGACTCGTGAATTCTTTATTCTGACACCAACATATAACCAGCATTATTGGTATTACGGACTAAGCTCTAAGAACAAATATCACAACAATAAATCACGATATTACTTCTGACAGC